CACTTGCAATACATAGAAATTCGAATGTGATTTTCTTAAAAACTTTAAAACCTAGATGTATAGTTTACTCTAAGATTCATAATGCAATTTTGTGTAGAATATTTCCGCCTTTGACACTTTTCACAAAAAATGAGGTATTAAGGGAGATTTTGGCTTAAAATTGAAACATGTAAAATTAACAGTAAACAAAATGTTAACACATAATTTTCTGTTGCAATATACAAATTTCGAATGTAATTTTCTTAAAAACTATTTATCCTAGATATATAGATTATTCTGAGATTTATAATAAAATTTTGTGTTCATTATTTCCTCTTTTGACACTTTCCCCGAAATCCCAAATATTAAGGCAGATTTTGACTTAGAATGGAAACATGTTATATTAACAGTAAAATGTAAACACATAATTTTCACTGCTGATATACAAATTTCGAATGTAATTTTCTGAAAAACCATTGTACCTAGATATATGGTTTATTCTGAGAATTATATTGAAATGTTGTGTAGAATATTTTCTCCTTTGACGCTTTCACCTAATTCTCAAATATTAAGGCAGATTTTGACATAAAATGAAAACATGTTATATTAACAGTAAAATGTAAACACATAATTTTCACTTGTAATACACATAAATTCGAATGTAATTTTCTTAAAAACTATTAATCCTAGATATATGGTTTATTCGGAAATTTTTAATGAAATTTTGTGTAGAATATTTCTTCCTTTAACACTTTATCCGAAAAATTAAATATTAAGGGAAAATTTTGGCTTAAAATGGAAACATGTTAGATTAACAGTAAAATGTAAACACATAATTTTCACTTGCAATACATAGATATTCGAATGTGATTTTCTTAAAAACTATAAAACTTAGATATATGGTTTACTCTGTGATTTGTAATGAAATTTTGTATAGAATATTTCTCCTTTTAACACTTTCCGGCTAATATAAAATTTTATGTTACTTTCAGGCCTCAACTCGTAATTAGACTGTGGAAAATTTGATCAAAAAATAAAAAAAAATTGAAAATATTTTTTTCTTTTTTGGCAATCATTTTTTCTATATATAATGGAGATAGAGATTTTTCGTCTTTGGTGACTTATAGTGAAATTTGATGTAGAATATTTATGTCTTTGACGTCATCCTTCTATAATGATGCCTTGTTGGAAATTATTGCATAAACTCACACAAAGTACGGTTTTAACCCTAAAATGCGTTTTTCATAAATATGAATTCCTGGCGTTTATGTAAGATCTAGACTCTGGATGTCTTCTGGGACCTATAGTGGAATTTTATGATAAAAAAATTTGTAGAATATTTTGAGAAGCTACGACTACGTTTGAAGATCGTTTTAGCCATATTTTGAAAAAGGACCAAAAATATGCCTTTCGTTGCCTCGCAAGGTGGTTAAAATATCGGAATCTTAAATCGAAAATTAAAAAAAAAATATTCTAAAGATGGGCCCTTCCATTTTGGCTACTTTGCAATGTTAAGTATCAAAATGCCGTTACACGTGTTTTCTTTTTATACCCTTCACCATGCTATGGAGGGTACAATAACTTTGTCATTCCGTTTGTAACTTCTCGAAATATTCATAACAGACCCTACAAGGTGTATATATTCTGGATCAGCGTAAAATTCTAAGACGATCTAGTGAAGTCCGTCTGTCTGTCAGACTGTCAGCCTGTTGTAATCACGCTATCTTTCGAACGAATTGAGCTACAAGGCTAAAACTTTGCATACATTCATAGTTTACCAGTAGGCAGGTTAAGTTCGTAAATGGGCCATGTCGGTCCATGTTTTCGCATAGCCCCCATATAACGGTAGCTCCCGATATTCGGTATTTTGATGAGTTCAGCAACATTATTCACCGGAATCGTTTACAATTTCGTACTGGAAGATCCTAATGGGTACTACAGCCTATGAAAAGAAATTGAGTAGACAGGTTCAAGTCTACGTATAGCCCCCATATAACGGTACCTCCCAATATTCGGTATTTTCATGATTTTTGCGACATTATTCACCGGAATCGTTTTAAATTTCGTACTGGGAGATCCTAATGGGTACTACAACCTATGGCAAAAAAAATCGTATGCAGGTCCACGTATTCATATAGCCCTCATACGGTATTTTCATGTTTTTTGCGACATTATTCACCGGAATTGTAACAAATTTCGTAAATAAAGTTCGCAATGGGTACTACAGCCTATGACAAAAAATTTTCCGATATTCGATATTTTAATAATTTTAACGACACTATTCACAGGAACTGTTTCCAAATTCGTATTTGAAGTTCGTAATGGGTACTACAGCATATGACAAAAAGGTTGACATCTTCATATAGTCCCCATTTAACGGTTTTCAATTAAGTGGTACTTTTCAGATTTTTTTTGAAAAATTTCAGGTTTCTTCCAAATGTTGGAGAGGCCGAACTTTGCTGCTTTTTTACTTGTTTTTTTTTTTATATTTTTTTAAGTAATAATATAATTTTTATTTCAAAATAAGGAAATTGTTTTTCAAATTTGACTTTTTTGAATTTTTGTTTTTTAAATTTATTTTTTTTTTTTTTTTTTAATTTTTTCAAATTAAACCAAAATTTTATTTTTATTTTTTTTCTTAATTTTTGTTACCTTACCTAATTATCAATAATGTTTGCATAAACAATTCTGCATCTTAACTTTGTATTTCTTTTGTACTTTTATGGCATTTTTTATTCTTTTTTGGGGTTAGAAAACAACAACAACAAGTAATCCATCATTGCAATGACAATTTTATCAATGAAATTAAATGCCAAGAATATTTGCAAAAAAAAAAAATCATAAAAATAAATAATTAAATTCAAAATACATTGACCGACATTTGCCGGGCAGAAATGGAATTAACCTCAAATCCAAGAGATAATTTAATAAAAAATAATAATAATAAGACAAAACAGCAACAACAATACAAACAAATATATGTAAGTACATTTGGTGGAAAGTCGAAATGTCTATTCGGTTCCAAAATCCAAATAGAATTAAGAAAATCCAACGGCACACACGCAGTCTGTTGTCGTTGTGGCCATAGCCGTCTTCGTGGTTGTCTGCCTGTCTATCTGGCCATCATCAATCTGGATGAAAGGCGATCGCAACAAAGATGATGAAGATGATGATGACGACGGCGAGCGTGATTGTCATGAGGCATGACGATGGTGGCTGTAAGCTTCTTCCATCATTATTAGGAGGTTGCTCATGAAGATCATGTGTAGGGTTTCCGAGTAGCAAACTAAATTTCGAAAATTTTGTAGAGGAATATTGGAGGCTCTCTAGAGATGTTCCAAAAATGAAAGACCTTGGTTCCCAGAGACCTTCTATGGAGATAGTAGACTCTACGGAACGTAGGCTCTTCTTTAGAAAGAAGATCGCTCTCGAAAATCTACTGGAGAGAGGCCTTCCTTGGAGGTGCACCCCTTTCAGAGGCCTAAGAAGGCTTTTATATCTTCCAGATATAAAAGAAGGCATTTTAGGAAAGAGATCTCTTGACAGTTTACTAGAGAGCGGCCTTCCTGAGGTATTCTATTCTCCTTGGAGGTGTACCCCTTTCAGAGGCCGAAGGAAGCTTTAATATCTTCCAGATATAAAAGAAGAAATTTTAGAAGTCATCGTGGGATAGAGATTCTGCTGGAAGAATTCAACAGTTAAGAGACCTCTCGGAGCTTGTCCATACATATAATACATTCTTCCTAGGTTTTATAGATATATGGATTCTTCCACTGATTAAGATAATTCCCCTTTTAGGGGCCTAAGGAAGCTTAAATATCTTCCAGATATAAAAGAAGCAATTTTAGAAGACCTCTTGGGATAGAGAGTCTGCTGAAAGTATTCAGCACTTAGGGGAACCCCCAGAGACTGGCCATAAATATGATACCTTATTTCTAGGTTTTATGGATACATGGATTGTTCCATGGTACAATGAAGAGAAGGTAGGTCAACTTTGAAAAAATTGCAAGTATAGAGGTCTACCTGTTTGGCTTGTAATGTCAGAATTAGTATCAAAACAATAAAAAATCAAACAACTTGTTGCATTGATTTTGAATAAATAATTTAAAACCGCGAAAACTGAATGAAAGGTCAACATTTCTTTTCAAAATCATGTCCTATATATCTCTTATGGTTTATTTCGCGACAAAAACTGTAGATTTTGTCGATGCATTCGTTGCAATAAGCATTTTGAAAACACCCGAATTTGAATATTTTCTGAATAATTTTTTATTATTGAAAAGAAGACACAGACATAAGCAAATGAAGTTGACATATTAAGCCAGAAAAATAAAAAAATTTAAATCATATGGTAGTTCTGCCCTACCTTGATATCATTGTACCATGGATTGTTCCACTTAAAAATCTTTTAGAGGTCTTTCAGTGGTTGTTTACCTTCCAGATAGACCGATTCTCATGGCAGTAAACCTTCCCGATGCCTCTCCATAAAGACAAATTTCCAAAGGTCTTAATAATAAAATCTGCAACACCTGAATCCGAAAAAGGATATTTTCACTACAGAACCCATGAACCGGTCATTTGTAATTTACCCAAAATTTCGACCAATTTTTATAGAAAAAATAATCCCAAAGCGGCAACTAACATCATGACAATATTAATTAAGATTTTCAAAACTATTTGAACAAATGGCGGGGATTTGATGGTTGATTGAATGGTTGGTGGACAAATTATAAACAAAAACTTTATAAAATTTAAAGATTCCAATTTCCAAGGCACTTGGAAAAAACTTGTCATTAAAATATATATTTTTTCGATTTTTTTTTAAATAAAAAATCACTTTATTTTCAGTTAAAAACATTTATTTAAACAAGTTTTCTTAAGAATTAAAAATCAATAATTCATTCATTAATTTTCACACAATTCTTCACTTCAATTTCTTTATGTTTCAAATATATCTTAATTTTATTACTTCTTTTCCTTTTTATATTTCGTTTTTTATTTATTTTTTTAACGTTTTCTAGCAGTTGAGTTATCTTACGGTGATAGCTTAAGAGATATTTCGACGTGTAAACCGTTGAAAGCCGCGAAATCAACTAAAACGCAGCGCCAACAAAACAAGCAACGGAGACATGGGGACTCATCAAACACAGCAACGGCGGCAGAGACAGCAGCAGCGGCAAACAGTAAAACAGTGGCTGGCACCAATAAAACCAAAGCTGTTGTTTGTGAAGTAAACGGCGACGCCTTCAAAATAAACAACTACAACGACGAACATAATAACGACAACAACGATGATGATGATGATGACGACAGCCCCAACAATATTAACAACGATAACAATAACAACGGCAACCACCATATAAAGAGCAACAATACCACCAACACTCTCCTTCTTCTTAGTCAGAGTAACAGTAAACACCAGTCGATGCGACGTAACCAACAGAGAATCAATGTTGTTGACAACAGCAACAATACCAACACTAATGATAGTGGTAGTGGTATTGGCAAACAACATTACAAACAAAAGGGGAGCACACAGGCGATGGCAGTCAATAACTCTCTAAAAAGTGCTGACTCAACCAAAATACAATCAAGAGAACACCATGGGCAGAGATCTTTGCAGAGAGCCACTGCTACCAATGTTAGGGAGAGTAAAATAAACAAATCAAGCAAACAATTAATGAATGAAGTTCACAATAAAGATCAAATGGATCAAAAATTACCCAGGGAAGATAAAAACCGGCAACAGCAACAACAAAAACATGGAAAGCATTACTGGCAGTGCAATGTTTCACCAACCAACTCCCAAGATGACCAAGGCAATTCGTTACATTTCAATAGCGGGATAAAATGTAATGATACGAACTACTCCTCCGCCTCTAGTTCCGACAGCGAAGCCGGTCATAATCCCAAATTGAAAAATATTAAAACAAATCCCCATTACTATCAGCTACAACCAAGACCCAACAAATTCCCATTGCACACTCAAAGAACATCCCGGAATTCATCAGCCACATTAAGTGGTCAGAGCAAGAGGAAAACGAAAAAACGTGAACCACCACCTGTACCCTCTGTAACACCCTCATCATCGGCGGGTCATTTGTCGCAAAAGCAATATCAAATATCCCTGGAAGAATTGAAGATTCCATTAACCGCCAATGCCTCAGATTTGCAGTCAATGCAGACATTTGAGACATTCGATGCACCTCTAATTGAGGATGACAGTGACACTTGTTCGGCTAATGAATACATGGCCGAGAGAACTATTGACAGAGATTTCCAACGGTGTGAGAGCAAATTTTCTGCGAGTAAAAGTTGTGCAGATTTGTGTGCAGAAGGGTAAGTAAAGATAATTTTTCTCTTCATACTGGAAGTCTTCTTCTTCTTCTGCAATTTTAGAGAAGAAGAAGCCTTCTTCTTATTTTGCTATTCTAGAGAAGAAGAGAAGCCTTCTTCTTATTTTGCTATTCTAGAGAGGAAGATAAGTCTTCTTCTTTTGCTATTTTAGAGAGAAGAAGAAGTCTTCTTTTTCTGCTATTCTAGAGAGAAAAAGAAGAAGTCTTCTTTTTCTGCTATTCTAGAGAGAAGAAGAAGAAGTCTTCTTCTGCTATTCTAGAGAGAAGAAGAAGCAGAAGAAGTCTTCTTCTTCTTCTGCTATTCTAGAGAGAAGAAGAAGAAGTCTTCTTCTTCTTCTTCAGCTATTCTAGAGAGAAGAAGAAGAAGACTTCTTCTTCGAATTCTTCAGCTATTCTAGAGAGAAGAAGAAGAAGTCTTCTTCTTCTTCTTCAGCTATTCTAGAGAGAAGAAGAAGAAGTCTTCTTCTTCTGCTATTCTAGAGAGAAGAAGAATAAGTCTTCTTCTTCTGCTATTCTAGAGAGAAGAAGAAGAAGTCTTCTTCTTCTGCTATTCTAGAGAGAAGAAGAAGAGGTCTTCTTCTTCTGCTATTCTAGTGAGAAGAAGAAGAAGTCTTCTTCTTCTGCTACTCTAGAGAGAAGAAGAAGTCCAGTTCTTCTACTTTCTGGAGGAGAAAAAGTCCAGTTGCTTTCTATTCTCTCTAAGAAGACGGGTTTCTGAATCGAGTCGCCACCAAGACGTCATCCCCTTTATATAAAACCTGCATATGTATACACATATGTGTACGTGCGTCTTCTAACATGCTCCGCACATACCTTCAGTTTTGTCAGTTAGTCAACTATTTGCAAAATAAATCGTATTTTTGCCGGTGGGTTATAAATTTGCACTGACTGCCGGCAAAGGTGCTATTTACCAGTTAACGTTGTTGTTAGTAACTGCTGGATCGGTTGTTTGGTTAGCTAGCTGGCTGGCTGGCTATTAGCTTCGCCGTTCGCTCGCTCCGCAGCTCGCTTTATTCACTCACTCACTGTTGGTTTTCAGTTCAAAGTGTCGATGACATCATTTGAATTTTATTTGATTTTTTGCTGATTTTTCTAATTTTTATTTTTTTAGTTGGCCAAAGTTTTTTTTTTTGGAGTAGCAGCAGCAGCAGAAGAGTTCAGTTTTGGGTTTTTGTTGCCATCGCTGAAACGGCTTTCGTGTTTCAGTTTATTTATTATTATTTTTGTTCATTTTTTTTATTTGTTAATAATGAACGAACGAAAAAAAAATATATGAACTGAAGAAAAGTAAACCTTTAATGTGTGTTGAACGAAGTTGGATGCCGGTTATTGGAGACGGCGTTGTATTTGTTGTAATTTCTAATAAATGTATTTCTTAAACTTTTTTTTGTTAAATGGAAAAATGAAAATATTTACTTAAAATTAGCAATGTGCCAAAATGAGAAATCCGTTGCTACAGCTGAAAAAAAGAAAATCCAACAACACTAACCGTTGCATATCCACTGACGAATATTTATTCTTGAGGGGGTTTGAAGGGAGAAACGCCAGCCAATTAATTGCTATGATAGAGCAGTTAGCAGTGGCTAGGTTTCACTCGAAAAAAATTGTCAGTTGAAACAAATTGTACACCTGATACAATTTCATTTCAGAAGCAAAAATAAAAAGCAGTAAGTTCGGCCGGGCCGAACTTTGAATACCCTCCACCATTTGGAACGAATTTAGAAATTTTCAAGAAAAAAAAATTAAATAAAATCCGTTAAAAATTCTATTAAAATCTTAAAAATACCGAATAAAGCCGTTATATTGGGATCTACACGAAGACGTGGACCTGCATAAGTAACTTTCTAAACTAACTTTCCATTACAATATTCAAATACGAAACTAGAAAAAAATCCGGTGAATAATATCGCTAAAATTATCAAAATACCGAATTTAGGGAGGTACCATTATATCGAAGCTATACGAAAATCTGGACCTGCATAGACAGGCTGTACGACCTATTAGGAACTTCAAATACGAAATTTCATACAATTCCGGTAAAAAATGTCGCTAAAATCATCGAATATTTGGAGGTACCGATATTTAGGGGCTATACGAAGGCCTGGACCTGCATAGACAATTTTCTGTCATATACAGCAGTTCCCATTACGAACTCTAAATAAGGAATTTCAAACAACTCCGGTAATAAATGTCACTAAAATCATCAAAATACCGAATATGGGAAGGTACTGATATATGGGTTCTATACGAAGACCTGGACCTGCATAGACAATTGTCTGTCATAGCCTGTAGTTCCCATTACGAACTCTAAATACGAAATATGAAACAATTCTGGTCAATAATGTCGCTGAAATCAGCTAAATACCGAATATAGGGAGGTACTGATATATGGGGTCTATACGAAGACCTGGATCTGCATAGGCAATTTTCTGTCAAAGGCTGTAGTAACCATTACGAATTCTAGATACGAAATTTGAAATAATTCCGTTGAATAATGTCTTTAAAATCATCAAAATTCCGAATATTGGATGGCTATACGAAGTCTTGGACCTGCATAGCCACTTTTCTGTCATAGGTTGTAGTATCCATTATGAACTTCAAATACCAAATTTGAAACATTTCCGATGTATAATGTTGCTTAAATCATCAAAATACCGAATATAGGAAGGTATTGTTATATGGAGACTATACGAAGGCCAGGACCTGTATAGCCAATTTTCTGTCGCATGCTGTAGTGCCCATTACGAATTCTAAACACGAAATTTGAAACAACTCCGGTGAACAATGTCGCTAAAATCATCAAAATACCGAATATCGGGGGTAGCGTTGTGTGGGGGCTATACGAAGACCTGGACCTACATAGACAAATTTCTGTCATACACTGTAGTACCTATTAGGAAATTCGAACACGAAATATGAATTCGCTAAAATCATCAAAATACCGAATATTTGGTACCTTCAAAAAATCATCAAAATACCGAATATATACTGTTCTGTGGGGGCTATAAAATAACGTGGACCTATATAGACAATTCTCTTCCTATAAGTGAAGCGCTTAGAAGGAACGTCTTGAAAAATATAGCTAAAATCAATCAAAATGCCGAATATAGAGAGGTATCGTTATTTGGGGGATATACGATATCGTGGACCTATCAAGACAATTCTCTTTCAGGGGGTAAAGTACCCAGAAAGAACTTCTTGTATAGAATTTCAAACAATTCCAATGGAAAATGTGGTTACAATCATCAAAATAGCAAATATCAGGAGGTACCGCTATATGGGGCTTATACGATATCGTGGACCTATATAGGTAATTCTCTTCCAGACGGTAAAGTACCCACACAGGACTTCCTATCCAGAATTTCAGACAATTTCATGAAAAAATTTGGCTGCAATCATCAAAATACCGAATATCGGGGTGTGGGGGAACGTTATATGGGGGGCTATACGATATCGTGGACCAATATAACTCATCTTCGAACTTGAGCTGCCTGCAGACAAAAGACTGATATGTGCAAAATTTCCTATCTTTATTTGTTTTGACTGTAAGTCAAACTTTATATATCTTCCATACTACGTTGTTGGTCGAGGAGGTTTGTAGTAGATAGGAGTGGTAAAGTGGTTTTCCTAGAGATTTAAAGAGATTATTTGCATTCAATTGAGAGGGAAAGAGATTGAAGGAAGAGAGATCAAGGAAAATGAGAGAAGGAGAGAAAGAAAGTGATTAAGTGAGAATGATATATTTGAAGAGTAATGAGTTTAGATATCTAAGAATATAATAAGATTTAGAAGAATGTACAGGAGGAAAGAGGGAGGAGGAGTAGATGAAAGTGACCCTGGGCAGCGAATACTTTTAGCAAACTGATAGATGATAACGAGATCTATATCTGAGTAGAACGTTAGAGCTTCTATCTCTTGGAATGCTTAGACAGTATTTTATCTGCCAGCATTATAAAGTCCCTCTATAGACTTAGAGAAGCGATTCTCAGATCTGTATATAGTCTTTACTCACGTTTGTTCTATTAAGCAATGTTTAGTTTTGCTGCTGCCCTTGTATGACCTCCATGCTCTTTTCTGAAGCAAAGCAAGGTCCTTAGTCCACCGAATCGAAATTAACCTACGATAAGGTTTTACAGCAGAAAGTTAAGGTATTACAGCAGAAGGTTAACGTTTTACAACAAAACCATGATGCTTTTATTTATTTCCAAATAATCGTTTGAAGTCTTTTACAGACATTCCTGATTGGGCGCCATTAAATTTATTCAACAATTTCATTTAAACTTTGTAATCAAATCAAAGCTTTTGATGTTTTTCGAAGAAAAAATTAATGTCTTGATTGGAAAATGCAAATCATGACAAATTAACAATTTGTCATAGCTGCAATTCTGAAGAGAATTTCCAACTATCAATTAATTACAAAATAAAATAGTTAATTAATTAAAATCGTGATCATACATCAGACGAATGACAAGAATATTTAAGAGATGTGGAAAAGATTGTTAATTACTTCTAGGAGAATTCCACAGCTAGGAAAAACAATGGACGAAGTTGGAAGGTGGTGGAAGGAGCACGTAATTATTTATAGAGAAAACACCTCTGCCAAAAATGCAAATGGGATTCATATTAATTCTCTTCAACCAAGAGGGTGTCAGAAAGACCTGAGCAGCAATATTAACCAGTTGTTTATTCCTAGCGGACTTTTTTGCACATACCTCTTTCAATTGAGGTCCAAACCTTGCACTTGCAATATTTATATTAATATTTATTTAGGTCCTATGCGCAATGGACAAATTTTATTCATTCCGACAGATATTTTTCAATTTGTTTCAATATGGATTTTGTTTCACATTGTAAAAGCAATACGACTCATCTGAATCGGATGCTAGTTGTGTGCTATTAACCACAGTTATTTCATTTTGTTCCTATTGACATAATAGTATTCATTTGAATTGTAATGACCATCAGACTGCTGGGTATGTTCCA